AACATTGTAAGGTGTGGAGACATCCCCCCCCAAGAATCCCCCGCAGAGGGGGTTGCGGGGGAAATCTGGGGAGTTGAAGTCCACACATCCTAAAGTTGCTGAGGTTGAGAAGCACTGACCCAGAAGATCTGCCTACTACCTACTTTAAAGGAAACTGCTCAAAATGGACCTTCGTTGTGTCCAACATGGTATTCCTTGTGCTTCCTGCACTTTCAGGGAAGATGTTTTCATCTTACATCTTATTCAGCCTTAACCAGTCATTGTATCTATTACTTGCAGGAGTGAGAAAACTCTATACATCAAGGTTGGGAAGACAGATTTGCCCAAAGGCCTAGATCCAGTCCCCCCATCTAACCCAGTTAGCCTGATAAATTTAGGGGGTAAGGCTTAGGTTATATAACTGATATCATTTCAGCTACTCTTCTGACTTCTCCCATTTCTCTGTGGAGGAGGAAATGGGAGCCATTGTTTTCCCACATTCTTCTCTACTTTGTGTGGCATATGCCTCCGCTAAGTGAGAGAAATGTGTATCAGATAAACCAGCTCAGCCAGATGCCACTTGATGTGACGCTTGATCAGGGAACACATTGGGTAGTTCCTGCTTCTCACATGTCCCATCCTTCTTGGGGGAGGGAAAAATTGAGTGCAAGCAATTGCAGGTGCACCTGTAGTCATGATGGCAGGAGTAACAAAAGCAAGTACAGGTAGTCCTCATTTAACAACCATTCATTTAGTGACCGTTTGAAGTTACAACAGCGCTGAACAAAGAGACTTACAATCGGTCCTTGCACTTACAACTGTCACAGCACCCCTCCAGTCACATGATCACAATCCAGTGCTTGGCAATCAGTTTGCACTTAGGACGATTGCAGTGTCCTGGGGTCACATGATCGCCATTTGTGACCTTCCCAGCTGGCTTCCGTCAAGCAAAATCAATGGGGAACTGCATCATTCACTTAATGGCTGTGTGATTCGCTTAACGGCTGCGGTGATTCGCTTAATGACTGCTGCAAAAAAGGTAAAATCAGGCACAATTCACTTAACAACCGCCCCACTTAACAACAAATTTTCCAGTCCCTTGTGGTTGTTTAACAAGGACTACCTGTAATGGTAGAAGCTGGTATGGCCCTCCCTCACAGCATGTCCTTACTCCAAAGGACATGCCTTTAGGGAAGGCCATACCAGCTGTGCCTGAAAGATTATGCCTTCTCTGTCTAGCAGTAGAATTGCCCAGCAGAAGGCATTTTTCCTTCCTCTTGCTGCACTGGCCTCACAGTGTGCATGAGCGTTCTGGCAGATGCTCTTAAAAGCATCAGCAGCGCAGAGAAGCATGGAAAACATCAAGGTCCCATCAGGCTGCGCTTCAAAGTAATAGTCCAGTTCTTAACTGTAATGATAAAGCAAGGTTAAATAGGTGAATTTGAGATCATTGATGACCACAGAGCTGGGACGGTTGTTAATTTCACCAGCCTTAACAAGTGTGGTGTGATCAGTCCCAGATTTAATGTGTAGCTAAAGGACTTGGGAAAGTGGCAGAGCAACTGGCTACTTCTGCATCAGTTTGGGTACATCTTCTCAGCTGGCATCGTGAATCACAAGGAAGCAAGGCAAAACCACAAAGGAAGAAAACTCCTCAATTTCTTTTCCTAAACTTGTGAAAAAGAAGGCAAATTAATCAGCTCTTTAAAAAAGGAGAAGAATTTCTGCACCCCTGCTGGAGATCTTCTGTGATGAATTCAGTCCAGTTTTAATTTACTTGCATATATAAACCCCTAGGAAATTTCTCTCTATGGGAAAACAGAGGGTCCATAACAAAGATGGTTCAGCATCTTTGTCTGAATCAGGTACTGAATATCAACCAGCTTCAGGCCACTTTTAAATCTCTGGTCTGCTTCCCTAATTCTGAAACAAGATCAGTAGTTGTTCTCTTGGTCCTGTAATGAGCCTAGGGACAGTCCCCAGAGGCAACTCTTGTGATGTCAACTTTGCCATCTCCTTTCCTTGTAGGGTGTGAAGCGTATCAGCCCAGTGACCAACACGGAAGAGTTCTACTACCCACCTTGGAAGCGGTTGCTCTTCCAGTGTTTGGTGAGCTTGCCCATCTGCATCTTCTGCCTCTCCTTTGTCTTCCTTACCATGCTGGGCTGCTTCGAACTGCAGGTGAGGTGTTCCTGGTGAAAGTGTCCAAGTGACTTTTCTCATGTGCTGTTTACATCAGACATCCTGGCAATTCCAGGACTGCCGTTCATCACACAACACTGGCCTTATCTTGCCCCAGCCCAAGATTTAAACAATGTTATGCTGACCCTTAATGCTCTGGAAAGAAAATGAGTGCTTCAGCCACCTCAGAGCCATGATGTGTAACTTTTATTATGCTTCCTACATTTTCAGGGAAGATGTATTCATCTTATTCAGCCTTGACCAATCACAGAGGGGGCGGTCATTTCTTATGAGAAGGGTGTGAAATAATACCATTGGCTGCTCATCAGCCAGTCACCATCCTCAATAATGCCATTGGCTACTTATCAGCTAATCACCATCTTCAGAATATTCTTCCCACCACTACTACCAATGAGGACAATGCATTTTGATAGCTAGCCAAGGCTGCAGTGTGAATCTGGATAATATATCACTATTTGGCCATGATGTTATATTAATATTTTACAGCAAGGGCTGAAATGCACCATGAGTTCCACCATGAGACTCACAAACAATAGTGGAATATTTAACTTCTCTTAGCTTACCAGTGGCACTTCCCTTGTTTCCCCAGCGAGGATGATGTGGGCCTGGCCAGCAACCAAAGTTAGGGCAGCATATCACTATCCTAGCAAACTGATATTTTGAGACAGCAAAACTCTAAAGCAGTGTTTCTCAATCTCAGCAACTTTAAAATGTGTGGACTTCAACTCTGTTGAAGTTGGTCCATACATCTTAAAGATGTCCTAGGGGTGCAAACGTTTACACCATTAATTTGCAGTGGTCAGGTATGGTCTGCATATTACAACTAAGATCAGCCTGGCTGATGTGGTCATCTCAGGAAAAGCAGTAATTAATGCCTGTGATGGAATGGAATTATGAAGGCCAGGCTCAGGGAGATAAGCGTGTTCTTAGTTCACCGGAGGACCGTGGGAAGTTCAAGAGGATGAGGCTGGCACCTCCCTGAGGAATTCATGGTGTTGTGGCTGGCTGGCTTAGGAGCTAGGTTTCAGTATGGGGAGATTTTCTGTCTAGAGGTTGTAGCTAATAAACACAGTAGAACTGAATTTGCATCGTCTCTTGGAGTTCTTCGGGCTAGACCTGACAGTGCCCTACTTCTGGGAAGCGAGAAGAGCTGAAG